TTCCCTAAAATTGCAACATAAATGCTATTCTGTGAAACTTCTTCCAATTCTGACTAAGAACAAGCAAGAGTACCACAAATCTTCCTCTTCTGTTATGCAAATGTTCCACTGATTCCAGGCGTGATGATAGGAAATATGTCAGTATTATAAATTAACCACTGCTACAAAGAAAAAATCCTTTTGGCATCCATTTGCATCTCAAGACAAATAAACAGACTTAACCCTACATTTTAATGAGTAAACTGTAACAAAAACTTGTTTATTCAAACATACTTTAAATAAAATATCCTTAATATGACATGAGTTTTCCCCAGAACCTAGGGAGAAAAATCTCTCCAGCACTGCAGTAAACAGAGTAAAGCATTTTTAATGCTATAACCCAATAACAGCACTCAAAGTAACAAGGCTGCACTTCATTCTGTACCGATTTAAAAAAAAAGGTTTCCTAAGAAAGTGTAAATTACAGAATATCTTACTAGGCTGCTTTTAGAGGTTAATGTACAACACTAAAAGTTCAGCAAAACTGGTGAAATTCTCCTCCTGATCACACCTGATAAAATAGAAAAACCAATCATCTACATAGTGCAATACACTATTCAGCCTCCTACAAGGGCATTTGTCCAAGTACTCGTGTACTTACTATGCAAAAATAACACTGAAAAGGAAGTGCAAGGGGGTGAAAAGGGGAATTACAATGATAATGTCAAGGAAAAAATTTCCTAGAATGGCAAAAACATGACCATAATGCTAAGAAGAGGTAAAAAAACAGGTATTTTCTGTAGAAAACATCATAATAGATACTATAACAAATACTGCATGAAATGCTGTTTCCAAAATACCGTTATTGCATTCGAGAACTTTTACCCCTGAAACACTTTTAAAAAAGAAAGTAAATTTTACTTGGAACAAATATAGCAGACACTATAGCAGCATTTTAGAGGCAGATTTGGAGCTGATCGTGTAACCCTTCCTCAGAGCAACCTTTGCTAGAAGTATTTTAAGAAACAAGACAACAATGTCTATGGTTCTTCTTCTGAACAGCAGTGAGCATGCTGGAACAGGTGGACAAAATTAGGAATCCAGCTGTTGGTCCAACAGCGCAGGCTGTAAGCAGCCAGATGGTCCAGCTCCCCCTCTGCCCTCACTCTCGGCGTTGCCCTGTTACTCCCGCCAGTGCCGTCCCAGGCAAATCTCCTTCAGAGGGAGTGAGCCCTGAGCAGTGAGGACATAAACCAGCCCACGCCACTCAGCCTCAGAGCCAAGGATAGGTCTTTGACCCTCTTTTATTTATACACATAGGTATGACAGTTGAGAATATAGGAAAGAAGCAGTACAGGTCCCATGGTCCCGTGTTGAATCTTATCTATTTTATTACATCCTTATTTCTGTGATGCAACAAAAGATCTGAAAACAATCCAGCGAGAAAACATTTGGAAAGTTTTTGTGCTTGTTACAAATACAGAATTTGCTATGTCACATTTGCTAGGTTATATATACATCTGAGTCCTCCTAAAATTATCAGTATGTCATTCAAGAGAAATGTAGAAATGTTTTCTTTCAATGTGATTGTTTAATTGCTTCCCATGTTTGTAGCCACATCTAAAGGTTCAACAGAGACTGTGAATCTCTGAGTACATAGGGAAAATGACCTGTATGGCAGGTGCTAATTATTCTCTTTTAGAAAAGAACATTTAAAGAGTTGCACAGATTTCACATTCAAAAATGTAAAATTTAGCTATCAAATCCTCAACCAGGAATATTACAGAGTCTCCAAAGTTATCATCCAAACAAACTAATTGCAGCACATTTCAAATATTTTGAAAGTAAACATTCAATTTATTAAATACTATGAACTTCTAAAGACATTTTCCAACCTGAGCAGTACTTAATTAATTTGAGTCTATTCAGTTAATTAGAAGAAATCCTTTTCTGGTACAGCAATAGAAACATAATTGACTCCAAATAAAAAAAATATAGACTTTTATACTACAATTCCCTCATCCGACTTACACGGATATTTTCACACTAGCCCATACACTACACTGAATTCTTTTGGATTTATCTATTTGGAGGGTTTATGACACCTGGCCAAAACAGAAAACACATGGCCAGTGCCCCTGCAGACTTGCCCGTTACATTACTGCCCTTTTCATCCTGCAGCCTGGTGGTGGTGGCACGGGCGCAGAAGTAGAGCAGAGCTGCCCCATCCCAGGAGGGTCTGCCCCTTGCACCCTAGGCAGACGGCCTCCCTGCTGCCCCCAGCACACCAGAGACGGGTGATGCACCAAGGGATACCGGGGAGCACAGTGCCAGAGGCAGAAATGGGACTTGATGCCCTCCTGTGCAGGGGTGGCAGGGATAGCTGAAAGCATGGAAAACTCATGCAAACGCCAGCTCCGTGCAGAAGCTGAAGGCTACAAATGTGAACATCCACCAGAGAGGGCCCTGTAGGTGGGAGGAAATGGTGGGATTGGGACAGTCCTGCTGGCAGATGTATGGAGTCCTGCAGTCCCACCCAGCACCAAGCACTGGAGTCTTCCCTTTGGCACCAAGCACCCAGCAAAATGAAACAACAGAAGAGCCAAGTGCTGGAAGTTAAAATCTGTCATTGCAACCTGGTGATACCAAAATGTTGGCAGGAGGTGGGGAGCCAGCTGCGGCCGGTGCTGAGAGGACCCCCCGCTCTCCTCTCACTCCCCACATCCCCTTGGGCTGTGGATGAAGGACAAGGTCTCTTCCTGCAGCGAGGTTGTATACGACATGGGTCTACAGGGGCAACGCAGCCCTGGTTTTTGCATATGGACGATTATTTCTGGTTTGAAATTTCTGAAAAAGAATTGAATTGTCTCAACACATTTAACTTCTGAGAAAAAAAGCCTATTCTGAAGAAAAGGTTGGATTTTCATCTTCATTTTCACATGTTTCTTTTTTTTCCAACTTGCTGCCCTCTCTTTACAGCCCTCCACTGTTTTGCTTCTTCACTTTGCCGTTAACAAGAAAACCCTCCTCCACATACACACAAAAAAAGGAAACCGGGATTCTCAGTCCATATCAAAAAGTCTATTCTTCATCATAATATTGTCCCCAAAAGATCCCTCTGTTCTATCTGATCATCCTACTAAGAAAGAAATAGCATGGCAGAAGAAGTAGACTATGTCTGTTTATATGGCTGTCTGGGGGAAGAGACTGCGTAAGTCAACATCGGTATTAATTTTATTAGCCGAACTGCTTGCAATACATACCTTCTTCCTCAGCTCCTGCTTTGAAACGATAATCACATTTGGAGGATCCCCAACAGCTGTGGCAGCCCCCCCAATATTTGTGAAGATTACTTCTGCAATCAGGACATGCCTAGGATCAAGATTAAGTACTTCGCAGAGTCTGTGGTATAAAGAGAATGAAATTAACCTCTCACCTTATACCTAAATTACCTTAAACTTATAAAATTCACAAAATGCAGTCATTCCACTGAAAAATTGCAGGATTTTATACATAATATTTGTGTGTGTGTATTGTCAAAGTTTTAATTGTGTATGTGCTACAGTAATTACAGCAATATAAATGCAAAAAAGATAGATTTTTCTACATTTATAATGCAACAGTTAGTGGTAACAAAGTTGAAGGATTTTAAAAAGTATTTCATTAAACAAGAGTTGGACTACACAGAAAACAGCATTTCAAATATTTGGTGTCATACAATTTTTTAAACCATGGTCCCCAGGCTAAGCTGACCTATGCAAACCTATCCTGGGTAACCACAGGCTCTGCGCTCCACATCAGTTGTTACCTTGCGTGTGGGGAGCAGCGGTAGGGGATTGCGCAGGCAGCCTATTAGCCACGAATCATCTATTAGAGACCTCAGCTTTCAGCCTAGGTTTATCACGTTTATTCTGTTCCTATTTTTTCCCCTTCTCTAAAGCTTGATCATGAGTATTTCTATTTGTAGTGCAGCAAGAGCAGAAAATACACATTACTCATTATTAAAAAAAAAAATCTCACCATGTTTTTAGCAGTTCAAAAATATTTAATGCTTCTTTATTAAGGTGCTTCTTTAATAAGACAAAGTAAAATGCTTCTTCAATACGAAGCGTCTTAAAGTGCTCTGGCAAATACTGGGATTGACTCAGTAACCTCATGATCCATTTCAAATCACAGCCCGCTTACACACAGTAATCTTCACACAGATTACTTCAGCTTGCACAAATTACATTTACACACAGATCCGCACAATCTGCTCATTTCTGAAGTACACCTTTGACTTTAAACTTGGGCTGTGGTATTAAAGGCTGAAAGTTAAGGTCACACCTAAGCGCTTTGGAATAAGGAACGACTGCTTTCCTGCTCACGGCTTATCAAAGCGTTGCTCCGGTGTGTAGAGATGGAGGCCACGCTTAGATTATTGCCCCCTCTACCTAAGACGGGGTGTGGGGAAGAGTGGGCAGCAAGAATACTTTCTCAATATTGCTTTCACTGTAGTGCTGTCACACCTTTCCCTGAAGGAAGAGTTGAGCTGTACTGTTCAGTCTAAGTCTGTATTATTAAAGCCTATATTTCAAAGAGAAAAGAGTGCATTGCACAAAAGCTTAACTTGATACACTTATGCTGTCACCAAGAGTGTCAATTTAGAACTCAGAAAAAACACTGCCAGATGACACATATGTCAGCACATAAAAACTCCAGAACAAAATAACTGTGCAAAAGTACATTATTTCCCCAACAGCATAAAATTATGCAGTTAAGTAGTACAACTGGCCTGATCGTATCAATTGTGGTACAAGACCACAATCGTACTTGCAATTTTAACTTCATCACTCCTTCTCTTCTGAATGTTTCAAAATATAACCTTAACTTTTCTTTGGTGATTCTTTCTTTTTGGTGGGCCTAGTGATAGCTTGAAGAAAGAACCTCTGACATACACTAAGAAAGGTGAAGCCCCAAGTATAAAACCACCAGAATGTGTTAGCTTTACGGTAGGATCAAACTTCTTCAGTTTACCTACCCTAGTTATACAGTTCCCCACGTGAAAAGCTATTAGCCTTTTCCAGTTCCCAATAACAAATTATCTTGGAAATAAACTATAGCTAAAAAGGGGTAGTTATTAATTTTTTATCAGCTTACTACAAAATGCGGAGAGAAACAAGTATCATGTTTTACACCTTATTAATGGAAATATAAATCCTTATGTTCATAGAGTCAGCAGGATTTTCCTGCAAGCTTTATCTCCATGGCAATGACAGCACAGTGCAATGTAGTGAAGGTGTAGACAAGGACTGAAGACAGTAAGTAAGATAAAAACAAAAAATGACCCCCAAGATGAAGCTTTTGGAAATATGCAATTACTTGGTTTTACTAGGCAAAAAAAAAATATATTTTAGCTTTGATAGTGATTCAAGTACAAATGTTTCCCGCATACCAAGTTTCCCCTTCTTCAGTTTCACTAACTCATTTAGTATAAAACTGAAGTACTTAAAGGGTGGCTACAAAGGCAGAGGCTCTCTCTTCACAAGGAGCCACATGGAGAAAACAAATGGCAATGAATACAAGCTGCACTGGCAGAGATTTCATCTCAACATAAGAAAATAATTTTTTATGTTGACAATAATTAACCACTGGAACAACCTCTCCAGGGACATGATAGAGTCCCCATCACTGGAGGTTTTCAAGATGCGACTGAACAGCTTGATAGATAATCTCATGTAGGCTCCCTTCGCCATGAAAGGTTGGACCAGAGGGTCTTTCGAGGTCCCTTCCGACCTGGCCTATTCTATGATTCTTTGAAAATTGAATGAATGCTACAGTAGCTCTGCCTGTGGACAGTAGTTCATGATGCATTGATGTCTGGATTTCAATCTATTCCCAATTATAGTTAATTCAAAATATTGTGCAACACAGCTAAAGAAAACTTGGTTTTTAATAGTTCCAGTGTTGCTTACTGCTAGAGATGAAATTATTGACTGGAGTAAGGAAAAGCGATCTCTTTAAAATATAATTGGACAAAAGACAAATGGAGCTTTCATTTACCAGCTGTTTCCCAATCTAGAATAAATTTCACTTGCAAAATTGGGTTTTACTGTTTTACACTACATTTTAAAGTGGGAGCATATCTTAATAGAGTTTTGCGTGCATTAATGTGATAATGACTGCAAGCATTATATCAGCCAGGATCATTTTAAAAACTCACTAGATCTTTCGAAAACTGAACTGGATTAACCAGATTTGCCTGGCTAGGCACAGGTTAAATTCAGGTTAAACAGTAATTTCTAATCACATATTGATTAAATGTGCAATACAAAACATGCAAATCGTGTTATTCACTACTCTCTATACAGTTCCAAATACCTAATCTCAAAATGTAGAATTAACCAGTGGCTGTACCAGTATCATGATCACCAGCAGGATGAAAATTCAGTGTCTCATTTCATCTACTAGGGAGCATTTGGTGCAATATGCTATTGCAGTTCAGATATGGAGACAAACCAGAATAGTTAGCTTCCAAGGCAGTATAAGAAGCTTCAGATATGTGCTCACTATTAACACAGAGTGAAAAGGCAACCAATCCCTTTGAAAATGTTAGCTGTTTACCCTACTGCAATAGGAGTATTTGAAATTTTGATTTCCATTTAGATGATCAAAAAAAGTCCAAACAAGCATTTTGCACACCAGTCTACTACTGACTGCTGGCTATAAAAGACCAAATCCAAAACCACAACAATAAAGTACCTTATGGTTACTGGAGTAAAGAGCAGCATAGTGGTAACATTGTCCAAAAATGCAGAAAGAATTGCAGCAATGAGGCACAGAAGCGTAATCATGGCCCACACCTTGCCTCTAGAGAATCGATAAGCCTAATAAAAGAAACAGAAACAAAATTAAGGGACTAAATCAATCCACCTTATTTTTCAAAAAATTATAGATAATAATAATAATGTCTCTTCAAGGATGAGACAATAGTTATCTCAGAGCACTTACTAATCCATGTACCTCCAACAGCACCCTCTCCAATATTAATTAATTTAGCAATAAAACATTTCTTGGAAGTGGGAAAACATTTCCATCATGCAGAGGAAAAAACAAGTCTGAAGAGAGACAGTGCTCCACTACCAGGCACAAAGGGGGTCTGTGGCAGGCTGAGCCTCCACCTTCTGCCTGCATGCCCAGTTCAGACCTCCCAGCCCTGCCGCAGGCTGGGACATTGTCCCCATCCTCAGAGCAGCCCTGCTGGGGCTACACAGTCTGGGCATCTATGTAGGCAGGGGTTGTGTCCACCTGTGTTTTGTTTAGAGGTTCATAGCTCAAAGAAGTCCTCCTTGTCACTTTTGTTTTCTTTCTTTCCATCCTTCTCAAGAAAATTAAGCTTTGCAGCAGTTGAAGGAGTCCCACACCACAGGTAATACTTGCTTTATAACCAGTCCATCAGAATTACCCTTTTCATGTAATCTTTGATTCTGTTACTGTGCAAAGGTCTCTGGCCATTTATCACGTGTGATCGTAAAGCTAATCATAGTTCCCATACTTCCTCTCTCCCACTGCCAAGCCATAACTACAGATTTCAGCTACAGCAGAACTGCAGTCCTGGGGAAGTCAGTGGAATAACTCAGCTTTATATTGTCCATATGCCTGCGTGCCCTCCTGGGGGTCTTTGCCTTTCTCCTGTAGAAACAGAATTGTCTTAAGGGCTTCCTTTCATCCCTAGGAGATTTTTCAAAATTACAAATCGACCACTGTCATTTCTAATGTGGTAAGTATACACTGCCCTAAGAAAGGTTCTTCAAAGATAGTGTTTGGTGTAACAGATCTGATTAAATAATAAATTGATTAATGCAGTAATAATTAAGAGTACCAAAACAAGCCTACCTTTACTGCACAGTAGTCAAAGAATCCAGTCTCTGAAAATATGGCCACCAAAACCATCTACCAAAAGATGAAGAGAAAGAATATCTTGCAACTGAATTATTACAGAGAACCAAAGTGATGTAGTTTGAGATCCTGACAAAAGTCCTTCTTATCTGACACAGCTCTGAGAATCTGATTACCTTCATATTAGGATATCCAGTACAGCTGCCAGATACCTCTTGTTAACGTGTCATACGGAGAAATTTAGTTCTTCACATAAATAGTCTGTAAATGTCATACTAGTCTGGTTGAATTTTTATTTGTAGTGACTAAGTGGGCATCATACATTAAGTACTTAATGTATCACCCTTATGTCATTAATCAAGAAAATCCAGTGTGTTTGCTTTTGCTGTAATGCTCTACAGAGTGCAGAAGGTAGCAGCTTTAATAATTACTTGTATTTTCCCACATTTCTAGGTTTCCTGTGCTTCCATCTTTGCTCCCAACAGATTTTTTTTCTTTCTTTTTCTGTGGGGTGGGCAGGAGAGTGGGGACCAGTGTCAGAAAAGCTCAGAATGGCAACAGATAATTGTAATTTTGTCCCTGTGTATTGTGTATTTTGTGTTAGAGTTTAATAGCACTTGGACAACTCTTTTTACCATAAATAGCTATGGGCAAAGTGATTAAAAAAATCTGTTATTATAATCTAATCAGATATTTCTCGTCCATTCCTGGTTTGCTTTTTTTGGCTCCAAACATAGTACTGACTAAGACAAAGAAAACCACTTTTCCAGCAGAGTGTGTTTGAGGAAGGTTTTGTGTAAACAGAATTAACAAGATAAATGAGAGTGATAATACTTGGCACTTAAACAGGTCTTTCCATTTACAGACCTCAAGAATGTTTTTAGTATGTTACCAACATAATTTTACAGATTGAAAAATAAATAAATAAAAGGATCAACGTTTTCAAAAGGCTGCTTCAGACGTCTTGTCATCCTCCTTGTTGATAAATCCCTTAAGGCCCAAATTTTCATCATAACACATCTCGGTAACATGCAATTAACAAAACATTTAAAAGGGAAACATATATATATATTGAATGTGATTATTTCAGCACATTTAGAGAAAAAGATACATTTTGGTTACCATTCCAAACAGCAGCGCCAGTGTCTCATAATCAATCCACTCCACCACTTTGGCCATACTTGGCCTCTACAATCAAAAAATACAATTATCACTGAATGCCACGAAACACCTAGTTCATGATTAACTATGAAATAGAAATTCCACTTAACTGATGAACCATTTAAGTAAGCTATGACAGAAATTAATAAGTGTTCCTACAAGGTACACAAAAAAGGTTCTTTATTATTATCATTATTACTATTATTGCTATTATTAATTCAAACTACTGCTGGCATCCTAAATCAGTCATTATCAAAAGCCTATATTAGGCTATTGGTTTATCTAGTTGTTCCTTATGTAGCATTACAGAAATAAAAGATAACCAAATCATATGCTACACCCTGGTTTCCTTTTTGGGAAAAAAACAAAAGCATATCATTTCACTTCTGAACAAACTGGACGGAATTTAAAGGAACATAGCAATGATGTGGTGACCAGTTATGAGAAAAACAGAAAATCAATCAGAGGTTTCACTAAATATCAACCAAGAGTAAGTCAGGGGGAAACAAAAGGACTGGAAGTTGTAAGCATGAGGTGTAATTATTTAGGGTAGTGTAAGGCAAAGTATTTCCATTTAGGTTTGCTTGGTAACCTAACAATACTGAAAATAACAGTGGTAAAGTAACTCTGAATTAAGCTGAAAATGGTTGTACTCAGCTTCCTGCAAATAAGAATAAAACAGTAACAACTGACTTTTTTCTGTTCTTCTTGTCTATACCGTCGGCTGACTTGTTTTCCCCAAGATGCTTCCCCATCCCAATATCTGCCCTACCATCTCTCTCTTAAAAAACACTGCTCTCTCACATCCCAGTCACAACAGGGAAAACACAGACATTATTATATCATACCCAGAAACAAAGTGAGCACTTGCAGTTTGATAACTTACCTCCCCAACTGTAGCTAAGGCAGCTAAAGCTGCCAAAGAGCCCAGCATCGCTGCAAGGGTCCTGTGAACAATCTGCAACAAAGGGTAAGAATTGACCAGAGACTCCTCAAAACATCTCCTTACTATTAAAAAGGAGGAAGGACAAGAATAAAAATTCCTGTAGTTGATTCTTTTATTGGTTTGTTTGGGGTTTTTTCCTTATTCCACCCCCTTTCAAAAAGACCTGACCAGAGAATGGCCCATTACTTTGCCGCCTCACTATAGGATGTTATTTAAAAAAAAAAGAAAAAAGCCATTCCTGTGTGAAACCCTGCAAGGAAGTCTCAGCTCTGATCTCAAGGCAGTGAAGAGACTTCAGCACCAGTTTCTTATATTTGCCAACAGGTGACCCAAGAAGGAAAGCAATTCATCTTCCCTAACTTAAAGGATTAAAAAGCCTAGTCCTGTTGGCTTCCCTTCACAGCCCATGGGAAGAAGACACATGCCCAGGAGGTGATCCACCTCGTTCTTTATAGGTTCTAGTTCATCTTCAATGTCTGCAAAGCAATTCCCAAGCAAATAGCTCAGACCTGGGGCAGATGCATCCTACACATACACAGACTTTCAGTTCCCAGGTCCAGTTTGTGGCCTGGGGTACAGATACATCTGTCAAGCCTGGGCACCTACTTTCTGTCTTTCACACACACAGAGTTTTCTTCCTTCATAAAGTGGTTTCTTACATCAGCATTTTCTCTACAACGTGTTTTGGCTTCAAGAAAGTCATATACTTCAGCTAAAATCTGCTAGACACCTTTGCTGCAGTCTCCTCAGTTCATCAAAAGCTGCTTTCACCCAGCCTTGAGCAGTGCTTGTCCTCCATCTCTAACGTTTCTCTAGCATACAAGCAATGCCTCTGAAAATAGCATCTAAACCTCTGATCACAACACATTCATTCATTTAATACTGCAACAATTACTACAGTATATGGACATTTGTCCATGTCTATGTACCTAATGAATAAACCGCACTTAAAATTCTCAAGGAGAAAGTATAAATGCAAGCATGCCCTGAAAATGTGCTTTTTCATCCAAGTGCTCATTTGTAGTTATTTAATTCACCACGTCTGGAAGATCACGGATTGTGTAAAATAACTCAGTTAAAGTATGGATGTAATTAATGAAAATCACACTACAGAAGATCAAATCTAATTAACAGCAGTTACTATTAATGTGTTTAAATATTATTCAGACACAAGTCAGAATTATATCTGAGAAATAAGTAAGGCAGTCTAGAAATATTTCATTTGCTGCTAATTTCATAAGAAATATTTTGCTGATAAGAAACAATAGGATGCAGACATCTCAAGGCCCTACTGCCCGCTTGTAGAGGAAAAGAAAAAAGGAAAGATTTGGTAATGGTAAACAATCAAGCAATTTGCCAAATTACTAGAAAAATAAATATATAAATGACTAATTTGGGAGTCAAAATAAAAATCTGTCTTGTTCTCCTATGGTTTTCTTCAAAATGGAGGGGAGAATAACTTATTCATAGTGATAAAGCAGAAGATTAGACCAAGCTTTTTATGTCCTAATGACCTAAAAGTAGACAGCACAGATTACAGTTCCCACCAGCTCCCACAGAAATGTGTGTGATATGTCACTGTTTCATCTTTGATTTCCAGCTTCAGAGCATTGATATGAGTACACATGTATGGCCCTTGTGATTCTGCAAAGGTGGGGAGCATTGGATAACATCTGATAGTGCTGTGGCTGAGGACGGGATGCAGCAGTTAGACCATACAGTTCTCTCCAGCAAAAGACATGAAGCAGAGGTGTCAGTTAGGGAAGGGGACCAGCTGCTTATCAGGGCGAAGTTCAAGGGTAAGCTACTGGGGAATCCTCAGCCAGCCTCAGACTGGAGGCTTTGTCCTCATCTAATCACCACCCATGTTAGATAGCTCTTTTGCAATTCTCAGAAGCATATCATGGGGTTTCTGAGACTTGATTGGCTTTAGATTTTTTTCATATTTCCACATAAGCATTTTTGCTGTCACCATTGTATACTTAATTGCATACACTGGGTTGACTGCATTTTCAGTTTCCAAGAGTTTGCTGTCACCTATGGGTGAAATTTGCTTTAATTTCTGTGGAAAGATGGGAAAAAATTCTGTACAAATGGAATCATCTGTCAGTTCCTTCATCCCGGTCATTTTTCAGGAAGGATATACAAAAGTATATCCTGAAGAATGAACAAAGACTATTCAGATGCAAAGCGCTATTACAAAAAACTTGTCAAATGTACAGCTCTTCATTCCAGCAAACTATCAAGTGGAAGTTACACAGTAACATAAAGCCTACAAAGCACACTTACATAAACTCCAAGACATGTAAATATTCAAAAATTGAGATTTGGTGATGTTTGGGAAAGAATGGATTACTCTTTCATTTTCTTTTCACATAAAGCAAACCCAAAACAAAGAATATATTTGTAAAAGCATTTTTTAAAGCTTACAAATGGAGAGATTAAGAGATGCAGGTTGTAAACTATACACTCATTGAACCACAGTTCCATCTAATCTAAACTAAACTAAACTAATCTAATCTACTTCAGGATATGGTTTAGTGGGCATGGTGGTGTTGGGTTGGTGGTTGGACTTGATGATATTAAAGCTCTTTTCCAACCTAAATGATTCTGTGATTCTGTGATACACATTTGGAGGGCATTATATTAGGTAAAATTCCATTATTATTCTTTTGGAAAATAGTACGGATCTCATCCAAACCCTTTTGAAGTCTGGCATGAGGATGAGTATCATTTCAGGATGAATCTCAGAGTGTATCCATAAACAAAAGCTCAGGTATGCAACTGAAGGAGCTCAGAAATAAATTATCACAGAAATCTAACCCCAGGAAAGCTGAGAAATTTGGTAGACTCCTGAATCTAAATACACTTTGAAAGATTAAGTGAGAAGTCAACTGTTCTCACGTGATCTTTCTCATGCTTGAGAAAGTGCATACCTTTGTGGATTCTCTAGTAAGCAGTTACACTGAAAGAACCCAGATTCACAACAAGCTTCTCTTTCAAATAGGAATTGCCTATAAGATCACAAATTTGGGTTGGCTGCATCAGCCTGAGTGGGTAGAGTTTTCATTTTACAAGCAGGAACAGAAGCAGAAGGTAATGGTGGACCAAAAGTTATTTCAGCAGCAAGTGACTGAACTCAGGTACAAAACTCAGCATAATGTATCCTCATCAAAGACACTGAAGCAGTCAAAACCTCTTGTGGATCTTATTACGGTACCTACATTTTTCTCTCTATTTCATCCCTCCTTTTCAAAATCCATCTCCCAGCACTGCTCAACTCTTGCCTGGACTGCTGTTCAGCTAAACAGTACTCACTCCTTCAACAAAAACCATAACTAAAATTCTTTCCATCCTGCACATCACATAACAGCTCTTCTTCTGTTTCACCTTTCATTCTCTCTCTCATACCTGCATTTCTGTTTCCACTGTCTTGCACATAAATAGCTCTTCACATGTTCCCATCCTCTCTGGCCCTTCTCATTCTGTCAAAGCCACATGTCAAACTCACCTCTTATTTTCTTCTCCCCCTTATTTCTTGCATCCCATAATTGGATCCCCACATTTCAATGATTCAGTCAGTTTCACCATACTCTGTAAAATACTTATTATAAAAGTTCCTTGCCTCATTTCCTGGAAAGGTTTCTTAAAAAAACAAGCAATGGCATTGAGACAAAAATGACAGAATAGGCAAGGAAGATACAAAACTCTTAGTCTATCAGTTTGCATGCTAGAGCTCCCCAACTCCAACCCAACTACAAACTTTGTAATCTCTTCACCTTCATCAGCAGCATCATCTTTATTTTTGTCTGAAGAATGCCTAGTAGTGTTGGCTTAATGAAACAGCAAAGAATGGTGCTTGCCTTTTACTGAAGGACAGTTACTTCAATACAAACTGCTACTGAAAACAGTGCAGCCCAGATTTCACTCTTTATACTGCACAACTCGGTCATAGAGCTCCCTGATAACAGGATATCACTAGGCTGAGAGCTGAAGAGATTCCAAAAAAGGGAATGGATATTTACAGAATTTTATATCAATAATGAAAACACCCAAAGTTGCAACAACGGAGGCTCTTAAAAATAACATGAACAATGTAGGTGTGGTGATAGCAACATCATAGGGCCATGCTATAGGGTCAATTCAGAATGGCAAAGATTAGGAAAAACTTCTATAGTGATTTTGTTTCATAATTATCTGTAGAAAGTTTGTCTCATAATTGCCTGCTGTGTGATAAACACAATGTGCTGAATGCTGGTTCTGTATGATAGTTTCCATACTCTTTATTCAGGAGTTAATTTTAAGGTAAGAAATTAAAGCAACCCAAATCATTTATGCCACAAGTCTTTGTGTTTGATATTAATTAAAAATATACATTTCCAGAGATATAATGTGAACTGGATTTAGACAACCTGGATGTTCTCCAGGTTTAAATTTCTTTATCTATCTGAAAATGGAATGTTTGCACAAAATTAATCAAATCTTTTGGTAGACTGCAAGAGCATCCTTATAAAAATGATTAAAAATTCCAAACACCTTATCTTCTACAGTGCTCCAGGAGGTAAAAGGAAATTATCTAGAAGCCAGTTGAATGGTCACCTGTATGCTATTTCACAGCATACATTTCCCAGCTGAAATCCAGGGCATATTTCCAAAATACGCTTCTGAAGATATTTGATAAATGATATACAGAATCAGAGAATTAGAGAATCATTTAGGTTGGAAAAGACCTTTAAGATCATCAAGTCCAACAGTTAACCTAGCACTGCCAAGTCCACCACTAAACCATGTCCCTAAACACCACATCTACACCTACACATCTTTTAAATATCTCCAGGAATGGTGACTCAACCACTTCCCTGGGCAGCCTGTTCCAGTGCTTGACAACCCTTTCAGTGAAAACATTTTTCCTAATATCCAATCTAAACCTCCCCTGGCACAACCTGAGGCTGTTTCCTCTTGTCCTATTGCTTGTTACTTGGGAGAAGAGACTGACACCCACCTTGCTACAA